CACACACACACACACACACACACACACACACACACACACACACACACCAGAGTTACTGTCCATAATAAATCATTTAAATCATTACAAATTTAGATTTTTTTAAAAATCAGAATATTAATTAATTCCTACCAAATGTTTCTTCCTTTAAAGTTCTCTACTTTTTCTGCAAAATCAAGCAATTAATTTTATATAGTCACCATTTTGGGTTTCAGCTGTGTGGTATTATCCCCATGTCCCAACCGGCCATATTCTCCAAGGCCCCATGTATATAATTCACCACTTGATGTGATGGCAGCACTGTGAGAACTGCCACATGCTATATCACGAATACGTTTGGTCTTCAATGCCTCTATCAGTCTTGGTTTATCACAGTTCCTAAAACAAAATTTTTAAAATGATAGTTTCTATAATCAATCTCTAATTCCTAAAGAAGCAACAAAAATATCAGTGGTATTGATTCACCTATACATAGCCACAGACTCAAGAGTGAGTCTATATATGTTGACTGATTGCAAACATCCCAAAAAACTGTTAAAACTGTCAATAAGTATTTTAAAGCAATCATAAAACCTGTTTCATATAGGTAGACCCTATTTTAAAATATGCAATAAATGCAAAATCAGAAACTACCAAGACAAATATTTCTCCTCATTAGCAAGAAAGGCTAGATATAATATGCTTACATTCTGCTGAAGTGTCCAAGTTTTCCATCATCACCTTCACCCCATGAAAATATCTTTCCATCAACAGTTAAAGCCATAGCATGCCGGCCACCTACAAGATTCAAAGGGTATGTTTTTCATATTATCTGGTCTTCTTTAAGAGGTATAAGAATCAATTCCTATAAAAAAATCTAGTTTGCTGTTCAGATGGGGTGGTGTGACCTAGACTCCAAAAAGCCCTAAGACTGTCTAAGTAACCCAGCCCCGGACTCCGTGAGAAAATTCTTTCCTTGTCACAGGCACAGACAGAGTTGATCTTGTAATTCCTCATATAAAAGCTATGAGTGCAGGGTGCTGGCCCAAGGACTGTTTCCCAGGGTGCCTGCCCAAGGTCCATGCCTCTGACAGCTAAACAAAAAGTGTCTTTTCTCCTTCAGTGTCTGGTATCAACAAAGCTGTCTCTATTTACTCCCTGAATTTTCCCATCCATAGATCACTAATGCCTGCTCCCAAAGACACCTTGACCCCTTGCATTACCTAATTAGCATCCTTAACATTCATTCCCTGCCCCTTTTCTATATAAGCTTTAGATTCATCCACATTAAGCTGCAAGTTCCTCAAAGGAATTTCACCTGCTGCTGTTACAATAAACTTTTGCCACTTGACTGAGAGAAGGCTTGAGTGTGTGAATTCATTCCAGGCAATTCTGCCTTGGCATTCTTGGGGTTCCAGCACCCCTAAACCTCTTTAGTTCTAACTAAATATGGTACTTGTAAATAAATTTTGTTAACCTACCATCATGACATTGGAAACCAGGCTAATTAATGGCATTACTTTATGTTATTTTAAACAAGTGACTATTCCAGTAAAGAAAACAAGAAGACATAGGTCACCTATTTAAATGTCTCATTAAATACATAAGCTTTTTGGATTTTTTAAGAAGAAAATATTAATCAACATGCTAAAGGAAAGCACTTTCAAATAAATGCATAATAAAATGTAAATGATTTATAAACATTGGTTTAAACAAAGTTAAGAATGAATGCAAGCAATTAGTTTTAAATATACAAATGTATACATATTTTAAATATATAAAAAGAAATTTAAAATAAGAATTTAAAAATAATTCCTAGAGTCTGAAAAAGCCACTACTGTTAAAGTTCAAACTCCCAACGATGTTAAGATTAGTCAGCTAGAGAGATACTACTTCGCAGATCTCATAGATATAACCTTTTCATTAAAAATTACTTTCATACACCATGGGCTTAAGCAGCTATAACTCATAAGATTTGAAGTGCTAACTGCTTAATTTTACTAATGCTAAATTGGTGACAACAGTATTTCAAATTTCTACATATTCTTCTACAATAATAACAGTCAAACATTTATGATCATGTTAATTAAACATTAGCCCAAGTTTATATTTAAAGAAGTAAAAATTGGTGCCAAAATCTTTCTAAGAACGCGTGAGAAAACAGCTGAAAAATATCATCCAAAATAAGTTCATGGCTCTAAAGGAGACATATTAAAACTGTACCTGAGTGAACAGCAACTTTCTTTACCACATAATTGCTAAGAGCCGTAATCTGCCGGGGAATGGGCACAGTTCCACTAGAAATGCCTAAACCCAGTCTTCCATTAGTAGCTTCTCCACAAGCATACACCTTACCCTCCACAGTCACTAAAAACAAATGAGCAACAGGAAATCACATGAAGCTAAAGTACAATAACCAAATTAACATGTCAGCAAATATCTGTAAGTCTTCTTTAGGTATATAAATTTAAAATAGAAAGAAAAATAAACAATAAAAATTAGGATCACGATACCTGCAAACAAACTCTTAGATCCACCTGCCACTTGAACTACATTCAAGGCAGAAAGAGTTTCAGAGAATGAAGGAACTTTTATCTATATGTATAGGAGACAAAAGAAGGAAAAATATGCTACTACTTTTAATTATGTATTAAAACCATACTTAAATTTGAATGTAAATAGCTCTAAAAAGCATATTTCCTTCCAATTATTCATCTGACAGCAATTTTCCCTTAGACTTTGTTAATAAGAAAAAATGCACAAAATTTCAATTATACATTTTTTAAACTATTGACTCATTTATACAGAATATTTCCCTAAAATAATAGCACATTTTGAAATTAAAGTTCAGTATCTATTTGTAGAAATAACATTATTCCATTCAATTAAAAAGTATTAATTATAGTTGCACTTAACAGATTTTACACAGAATCCATATTAAGTTTATACCACTATTTAGACTGTGGTCAGAGCTAACATACACTGTCCTTCTTAGAGTGTTAGTTATCTCTGGGCCAAAAGGAACTCTCTCAAACTTAATGTATGTCTAGTAAATCTACCTATAATCATATCAATGTCCTAAATGATTGGGTATCTTATTTTTCCTCAGGAATATATAATATTTGACAATTTTTAAAAATACCTCTGAGATTTAAGTTGATGACAAAGGTAACCTCCACTTTAAGATGCAGA